CAATGTTAAGTTACTTCAATGAGTGTAATCAATTGCTATTTTACATAGGGAAAAAGAACCATTAATTTCCTTTGAATAGCTATAAAATTTGAATTATAATTTCTCCAATAATTTACAGATTAAAAACTAGAGCCTAAAGCAGAATTACATTCTATTGTAAAAATTTCAGTCTTCCTAACCAAATATATAGTTATACATATGCAGGTAAATCTCAGCAGATTTCTATCTCTATTGAAATACATATAGTGAAAGTTATGTGACTTCAATTTTATTCATAGAGAGAAAAAAACAGAACCAGAACACTGGCCTCTGCATTCCATGACTTGTATTCACATTGTATCCTCAATAATCTTGTGATCTCAACCAAATTATTTTATCATAAAGGCTTCAACTTCTTAAGTTTCATTGCATCAGTCAAGGAACCAGCAGAAAACCAAATTCACACCTCAGTGGTATAGAGAGAGAAAGGCCTCAGTCTCTCTCCATATAAAATGAAGGAACTGGTTTGGATGATATCTTTTAATTAAAAAATGTGATGACTTCAGTGATTTTTAGGTACAAACACTAAATGGTTGATTATATTTTCTTTCAATTTTGTATATGTTTAAAGTTCATATATGTTCCATATATTAATGTATGAATATCACAATGAAATAAAAGTCCAATGGTGCCATACTTGGTTTATATGAATATATCTGTATGTGTTTGTGTGTGCGGAGAGACAGAGAAAGAGAAAGAGATACCAGGTGTACATTTTTCCACATTTATAAGGTATGTAATTACTCCAAAATAGAAGATAACAGGAAAGAATGATTTTGCTATATTTATCCAGCTGCATGATTTACTTAAAATCTATAAATTGACTTTGTGGTCTCATGTCTAAGTTATTAATTGACTTGGGATAAGTTTGAGATAAGTTTTAGATTGTCATACCTTACATAAAAATTTATATATGCAAGGTAGATCAGATCAGTGGATGACCCTTTCCTTACTCATAGACATCCAGAGATCTAGGTAATGTTGCTTTAGTAGATATCTCCTGACAAAAGACATAACCTTTCATCAGTTATTAGCCACTCGTCTATTACATCAGGCCAAATGTAACAGAAATTTCACCATATGCAGATGCCCTGTGCCTCCTGAAAGTGTTTCTGGTTACACACAGAAGAATCATATTGTAGAAATTATGCTTATCAAAATGAAACTAGAAGCTGTGGTTGGCATCACTCTGCAGATGCATTCCTACTATAATATGTATGATGTAATGTACATACACGAACAAACTGATACTTAGTTTTCTCAGTGCTGAAAACTCTAATAGATGACGGCAAGTCATCCATTTGCTTCCAGACTGGAAGTAACTTAAAAAGTAATTTCTGCCATATTTTTTACTAAGTATACAATGAATATATTGAACACAACTTGAGCACTTAAAGAGAATATTATTCAGACTACATTCCGCAGTTCCAAAGGCAAGGGAAATTATCACTGGATTTAATATGAATTTTTCTTGAGCATTTCTGCATCAGCTACAAATGGATTTTTAAATTAATGTTTATTCAGGCTGTATCTTCCTTGCTCTTGCCAAAAGTAAAGTACTTTACTTTCCATTTACTAAATACAATAAAATTTTTACTTGCCAGTGCATTATCTAAATAAGAGCATGGCATGAATAAACTCAACAGGACCTAAAAATAATAAACAAAATAGTGACTATACTTTCATATGCTTACTAATCTTCTGGAATTATACTATTCTTTAAGAAAATTGAAAAATATTTAACACATAATACGACTCTGAAGATTATAAAATAAGTAGAAAAATAGAATGCCTCTGCTTTTATTTTGTAAGTCAAAAGCACAATTGTATTTCCAAGTCGCAAAACTTGAACAACCACTAAAACCAGGTTTACCAAGCAAAGGAAAGGTGGACACTTAATCTCAATAATGCTGTCAATGATCCACATTAGGCTCAATTAGACACATTATTTAGTTGAGAGCAAAGGCTATTGTTTTAACTGCAAAGGTCTGAACTATGGAAACCTGGGCTACATCATCAGGTTTGCTAAGGTGTGATTTTCAGAAAGAAAAAAAAAAAAAAAAAAACCAGCAACTCTGCAACACACATCTTTTAGATTCTGCCAAAGAGTAACTACAGAAGCTTGATTTAAAAATTTCTAGACCCAGTGAAAACAAGCCAAAAAGGGGGGAGGGGCATTATTTACAAACTTGTTCCCATAAAGCTGTTTAACTTATTACAATATAACCATTAACAGGATTTAAGAGCAACACTTTGAAATGTCTTATTATCATGAAGATGAAAACACTGTAAACAAATACCCTTTCCACTATATCACAGGTAAAGAACTATGTTAAAGCAATTCAAGAGAATTATAAATACAATGAAGACTTTATGTCAGATGAAATCTCTGATTTTTAATTAATCCCTACCATAAGGAATTAAAATATGGCATCCCTCAGGGTTTTTCTTAGATAAATTCAGTATCAAAGGGGGGAATTATAACAAAACCTGTGTTCTTTATTTTATTTTATATCAAATTTAAACACAGAAAATACATTTTGGCAGTTGTTTTTAGGTAAAGCTAATATCTTTTAAAAATAAAAATAGAAAGTCATCTACTTATGGTACAAACAAAAATCAGAACAAAAAGATCCTGTTTATTGTGTCAAATGTCTAAACAGAATGTAACTTTGTAAATGGATCCCTTGTCCCCTGACAGCAATATTGAAGAGATGAAGAGTATCAATTACTATTACTAATTAGATTAAGGGGAATGTGTTTCATTCTCTTTTATTTCATTTTGTTTCAGCTCTTTATTATGGTAAAAACTACACATCTTTTGAATACCTAACAACATAGAAGTTTTCCAGTCACTTTTGGCAAACTGCATGATTTATACCAATGGCTTTGCAGGTTTTCTATTTTGGTATACAGACTTCTTTGCTCTGTTAAGAGTCTCTAACACCATACATTAGTTTATTTATAAGCATATCACTTTGCCTTTTAAATAGGATGCCACAACAGTCTTGGTATTGGCTGTCTTAAATATTCAAGAATATAGAGCCAAACTCATTTGATGAGCCAAATAAAGCTTAAGTGACAGCACAGAACACATGAAGGGGTTGTATAAAATATCTATAAATCTGCCACCTGATATGTCCGTTCCAAAGTTTAAGATTATGCAATTTAAAATATAAATGCCATTCAGCCACGGGACAAAACATCCCATTAAGATGACAGTGAAGTAGTAAACATTCTGAAGAAAGATGTTTTCACACACTTTTTGCACTACATGTTATAATTTTCCAAGGAAACTTCTATAGACCTTAATTTATCTCTGGGTGTTCCTAAGCCATCTTAGAAAAGTAGTATTATTTTACCTGGACATGTCCTTATTTACAAAAGGGATAGAAGTACCAAAAACAAAACGAAAATCTTCTTCTTCTAACTCCAGGTAAAGCAATAACACAACAAATATAACCTTCCACTTAGTAAATTACAGGTTAAAAGAAATAAGTAACTCAGGCTCACAAGCATCACATATTTTCAAAAGCCATTTAATGTAATGAAGTTCAAGCCTATGTTTTCTTGGATTGCTGTGGTAATTGGATATAAAATCATGTGAAGTCTGTTTCTCCTTAACCAAATAGCTGCAGTAAAGTACTATAAGTAGCAAATATTTCTTTAGGAAATTGATTTTTAAAACTATGAAAGCAGTAAGGAATTAATATCTCTTTTCTATGTCTTTAATGAGCCCATCAATAACATCTTTAATGACGCTATAAAACAAGTTTTTCTTTTGCCTTAATTCTTTTCACATTGCACATTCCACATGCAAAGCATATTTAATAGAAAAACTATTATTTGATATTATTTGACAATCATAGATTTGTTTTTTGAGATGAGCTCTTGTGATAAGAAATATGTGGCATTTTATTAGTGGGGCTGCTACAGCATTAGACACAGCAGTTTCCAAAAGGTTTTACTTGCCGAATGTCAGACCTTGGTGGGTGTAAAAAGTAAACTTTATGAGCATTACATATATCACACAAGCAAAACTTACAAAAATAAATTTTCTGTTTTCTGAAGTTATCTCAAAATATGCTTTTTAAAACTGTTTCCACATCTCACTGAAAAACAATGGTATTGAATATTCCATATAACCGTAATAATGTAAGGGTATCACAAGGCAGACCAAAATTTTCTTTTACACAGTGCATCAAACAAGAACATTTCTGTTGTTCAGCTTAAATAATAAATGGATCATGCACTTTACTTTTGCTTATAAACTTTTAATACCAAACACGAAGAATGCAAGTGCTAACTTCATAGCCTCACAGAAGTCTAGTTGTTACAGACACTGAAGTATTAAAAATGCAGTTTTGCATGATATTTGTGTATCATTAAATGTTTTTAAATCGACATTTTTGTCAAAGTAATCAGTATTTAAGTATCTCAGTCTTGCTACTATATTTGCATGAACCAGCCTCCATGATCTGTACAATCCTACATAATACATAACACAGATAAAACTTTTATAGTGTTCAATTTGCATAGGCACCAGTCGTAACTTTAGAAATTCCCCCCCGGGATGTAATTATACACTGAGTAGCCACAAAACAAAATAATTTCAGGTTAAAGCTAACCACCCAAACCATATATACATATTTTTCCTGAAAACAGAAAACGTAGGCTGAATTAGTACTGTCAAGGATAAAGAGATGTACAAAACACCACTTACTTTGAATACGTTCTTAGATAGCTTAGTAAACGCTGGTTTGGTAAGTTGCAAAATACAAGGGGGCACCTCACGCAGATGGCCTGTGGTCAGTTAATGATCTATGAATTCACATTAATTCACTGCTATTAAATTTTTAAATAATAGCTTTAAAAGAAAAAACAAAACTTCACAGAAGATGTTCTGTCTAGAGTTACTAGCCTTCTGTGGGATATTTAGATATATTTGGAACACATCTTACCTGTTTGCTGTACTTGTTATTGGTTTGACAGCTGTATTCAGAGCAGTGATCTGATCCAATTGAAATGTTGTCTCCTGCTCCCACAAAGGTGTTGGCTGGTGGCAGATCTTGTACGGCCTGGTGTTTTTTTCCTGCAGTTGGTGACTGGGGGTGAAGCTGGACAGTAGGCAATGGAGAGCTAGATTTGTAATGCCTGGCCAGGTCAGGACTGCCAGGCCCCCCATTAACAGATCGGTATCGCCCCATGCTTGGGCTATCTGACAGCTTCTCATTGACACTATCATACCTCTGTCCATTTGGTTTAGAAGCTTCTACAGTGACAATGCTGCTGTAGAGAGGCTGCTTAGATTTTTTGTTTTTCTTGTCCTTTTTAGGCTTTTTAGATTTGTCGTGCTGCTGGGGTGTAAAAAAGTCTTCGTGATCCTTTTTGCCAGCTTCATAGCCATTTTTATTTTTGGACCGGCAGTACCTTGCCATCACTACAATTAAGATGATTAGAATCACTGTCATAATTCCAGCAACCACCCCAATGACAATACTGAGTCTCTGCTTGCTAATTTCATAACTTGGGTCACCAGCTATATCCTGGGTGAGTGGGATGTGCAAACTTCTGGCTATCTGGGAGTCAATCACAGTTGCATTAGAAACACTTTCATTGACAAACACATGCACCAGAGTCGTGGTGGACTGGGAAGGCTGCCCACTATCATTCACTTGCACAACCAACCTGTGCAAGCCATAATGCTTTTGGGTTAGTTTTCCCACTAAGGAAACCACACCACTGGTGGAATCAATCTCAAACAACTTGAAGGGATTCCCTCCCACAATGCTGTAGTTAAGGTCTGCATTGATGCCATCGTCACTGTCTGTTGCCAACACTGTAGCTACTACTGTCCTGACATTACTCGAAGGTGGCAGTAAAGTGTAGGAAATGTTTCTGGGAAGGGTAACTGTGGGAGCATTGTCATTCTCATCCATCACAAAGAGAGAGACTGTGGCTGTGGCGGATCTGGGTGGATCTCCCCCATCCACAGCCTTGACTCTGAATGTGTATGTGGTCTGATGTTCCCGGTCAAAAGACATTGTGGAGTAAATGGTCCCCGTGTCATTCTCAATGGAAAAAATGTTACTGTTTTCTTCGATGTAGAGGCTCATCTCCGCATTGCGCCCCTTGTCAGCATCCATCACCGTGACCATCCCCACAGGGCTGTTGGGCTGCAAGTTTTCTTTCACATAAAAGGTAAAGACGTCCTGCATAAACTTAGGGTCATTGTCATTCTTGTCAGCCACCTGCACAATCACCGTGGTGCTGCCCTGCAGCACTGGGATGCCTTTGTCTTTGGCGTTAACTTTAAACTCATACCTGTCTGTCTGCTCTCGGTCCAGCACCGTATTGACAAGGATGTCCCCAGAATCAGGATCGATGGCAAAGATCCCCATAACGGAAGAATCCAGAGAGTAGGCAATCTCTGCATTTTTCCCACTGTCGGCATCTGTCGCCAGCACCGTGGCCACCCTCTCTCCAGGGATGTTATTCTCAGGAAAGTACACCTCCACCACCGACTGGCCAAAGACGGGCGGGTTGTCATTGGTGTCTCCTACCTTGACAACCAGGGAGTTGTTGCTGGAGAGGCTGGGGCTGCCTGAGTCCACCGCCACTATGACCACGTTGAACTCCCGGGTGGTCTCATAGTCCAAAGGGGCCGAGGTGTGCAGAAAGTACTTTTTCTTGTTCTGGTCGCCCTCTGTGTCGCTGGCCGGCTTGAGCTGGAAGGGCACATCACCCACCACGGTGCAGGTGACTACCCCGTTCTCGCCTTGGTCTCTGTCGGACACCTGTACCAGAGCAATGGGGGTGTCGACCAGAACATCCTCGGCCACGTTGGCCACCCCGTCCTTGAGTGGGATACGCCCGATCTTGCGAATTTCAATGGACGGCACATTGTCGTTCTCGTCCTTGATGTTAAGGACCACCGTGGCCTTGTCGGTCTTGGGGGGCTGCCCGCGGTCGCGGGCCATGACCGTGAAGCGCAGCTGGTTCACCTCCTCGCGGTCGATGCGGTGCAGGACACTGAGCCAGCCGGACGTCTCGTCGAGTCGCAGCAGCCGCCGCACGGATTCGGTAGCCGCTCCGAAAACATACTCGATCTGTCCGTTGACCCCCACGTCCAGGTCCGCGGCACGCAGCTGCAGGATGGGAGTCCCTGGGGCGCTATTCTCGGCTAGGTCAGCTTCATACACGCTTTTCTCGAAGCGGGGACTGTTGTCGTTCACGTCGGTGATGAGCACCCTTAGGATGGCCTGAGAGGAGCGAGGCGGGTCGCCACCGTCGCGCACCCGCAGGGTCAGCTCGTAGGAATCGCGTTGTTCCCGGTCCAGCGCCCCCTTCACAATCAGCTGTGGCTGCTTCTCGCCATCCGGGGTGTCGGCCACCTGCAGTTCGAACACGCTGCTGCGGCCACCGGGGTTGGTCCCGCCGCCGCCCTCTGGCGCGTCCGGCCGCCTCTTGGAGCCGCCCGGGCCGCCGCCGCTCGCGCCGTTCCCGCCGCCCCCGGGGTAGGGGGCGCTGTCGGCAGGCCCAGCGCGCCGGCCCTCGCCGCCGCCGCCGCCGCCGCCGCCGCCACCGCCCCCGGGCTCCTGGAGCAGCTCGTAGCGCTCGATGCCGTTGCGGCCGAAGTCACGGTCCGTGGCGGTGGGTAGCAGGTAGAGAGTGCCCACCGGTCGGTTCTCCTCCACCGTGAGCGTGAGCACGGGTGACGGGAAGGTGGGCGTGTTGTCGTTGATATCGAGTACGATGACCCGACCCTCGAACAGGTCCACCCAGCTCTGCGAGGGCCCGATCACCGACACTTCGAAGTCCAGAAAGCACTCGTTCTCGTCGAAGATCATCTGACACTGGGGCAGCTTCTCGCGGTCGATGCGCCGCTCGCTCGTGCTCAGCTCGCCGGTGAGGTTGTCGATCTTTAGGTACTCCGAGCCCGACTCGAGGCTGAAAGTCACCTCACCCGAACCCGTCACGATGCCCAAGTCCGAGGCGACGTTGCCGATGCGGACGTCCGCTGGGCCCTCCTCAGCCAGTCGATATCGGAGGAGTTGCTTGGCCGCCGCCAGGCTGAGCGAGAGCGGCAAGAGGAGACAGCAACCCAGGCACCAGCCGCGCGCCCACCCCGCGGTCCGCATCCTCAGCATCTTCTCCTGCTGCTGCTGCTACTGCTCCTTCTAATCACAGCCCCCTCGGCGCCCCCCTCCTCCGGGGCCAACCGCCTGCCCTCCTCCCAGTCCTCTTCTCTCTCCGGGAAAGGAGGAAGCGAGAGGAGGGAGGGGGCAAGAGCACCGTGCGGAGACGGCCAGGGGGACCGGCGATAGATTCTTCTTTTTTTTTTTTTTTCCTTCTGCTTCTTCCGAAAGTTATTGTTTCATAATTCATGCAATGGGTGCTAATCGCCCGCTCGCCGGCCGCCGTTCAGTCGCAGTACTCACAGTTCACGGGACACTGCGCGCCGCGGGCTCGGCGCCCCCCCAGAGTCATCCCCGCAGCGGGCGGAGGATCCCGGGCTCCCGTTCCCGCTCTGTCGGATGGGGCCGGAACCGCTCCGGCAGGCGGGTGGTGCAGCCGGGAAGCGGCGGGGAACAAGCCTGCAGCCTCCCCCGCCTGCCAACCCCGTTCGTTTTTGCTGCTACTCGAGTTGCGTCCAATTCACGTTCCAGCCACTCACTCCAGACCCAGCTTCTGCTCCGGCTGCCCAGGCAAACGTGAGTTGCTTCCTGCACGAGGCACCGGGGCCAGCAACAAGCCAGTCTGAACTCTGACTCTGCTCTGGCAGCGGGGGAGCCAGTCAACAGATCGAGAATGAAAAATCCCTGTCAGGTCGCTTCGGGCACCGTGCAGTGGAGACCACTCGCGTCACACAGCGGTCCGCGTCCGGGTCCCCCCCGCGCGCCGAAGAGCAGCCCGAGCCATCTTCAGAGACGCCCAGAGTCAGTCTCTTCTCACCCCCAAGAGCTCGGGTTTCTCTTTTTTTCTTAACAACTCTGCGCAAGGTCATTAGTCACGAAGCCGCCGCCTGAAACCGCAGCAGCCGTTCGCCCGCGGGGGCGAAGGCTGAGCCGTGCGCACCGCGCGGTGCCCAAGTTTGGGTTCGCAGCCGCAGAGTCCGTGCCTTTCCTCACCTGCATTCGGCCCGCAATTCGGAGCACTGGGATCTGCAGCGCTGTGCGCGATTCAGGGAGGAGATTGCAGCCTCTCTCTCTCTCTCTCCCCGCTCTCTCTCGATCCCTCCCCTCCCTCCCTCTCTCTCCTCCCTCCTCCTCCTCTCTCCTCCCTCCTCTCCTTTCCCCTTTCCCCTTCTCCCACTCTTTCTCTTGCACGCTCCCTCTCTTTCCTCCCAGTCCCAATGCTGGCAACTCGGGCTGAACTTGATCCCTTTGCAGTTCAAAGGTGAGCAAATCAAGCTCCGTGCTGAGGCGACGATGGCCTGGCGAAAGCCCCCGGCCGGGCTCCCCCAACGGCAATTAACAAAGATGCCCAATTCTGTCCGGATTTCCGAAGAAAAGCCAAAGGCACTGGGGAGGGGGTGAGCGGAAGGTGGAGTCAGAGACAGCTGCCAAGTAGCTTACAAAAAAAAAAAGAAAAAGAAAAAGAAAAAAAAAAAAAATCCAGTTTGCCAAGGGGAGAAAAAGTGCCAGTCGGTTGTTGCCTCGGAAGTGCCCTGGCACGGCGGGTGAATTCCGCAGTTGTCTCGTCCCTTTTCGCGTCTGGGAGAGTCTGGTGCGGGCGCGCTCGCCGCCCCTTGGACTGCCAAAGCTCCAAGACACTGAATGGCAAATAGGAAGCTCCCGCTCGCTAGCCGCGAGCCGGAAACCCGCAAGTTTGCCCAAAGTGGTGGCTGCTTCTGGGAGCTCGCAGGCTGACTTGCGGCTCAAGCTTGTCCCTGAAGCTGCTGCTGCTGCGGCGGCGGCGGCGGTAGCAGCCCAGCCACCGAAACTACACACTCGCGGAAAGGGAGGGACGCGGGTTGAGGTGAGAAAGGCAGACAGGAGTACTAACCAGCCGCCCCACTCCGGAAAGCCCAGCTTCAGCTCCGGGGGTCACTCCTTGTGCGCACAATCCAGCCAGTCCCGTCCCCTTTAAGCCAAAGCTTTCCCCCCGTCTCCCCAGCGAGTGCAGCCACTGTCTTCTCTGGAGACTTGCTTTCCCTCCCTGGGGCTGGTAAATTTCCTCCTCTCCCTTACTAACGCCGAGTGCGTGTGTGAGAGCACTGGAGCGGGTGTCAGAAAATGTTTCTTTCTTTTTTTTTTTTCCCTCCCCCTTCTCAGACGATGCCCATCCCCCGCCCCCCCCAAGTGTCTCCGTTTCGCGATTTAGCATCTTGGTTAGGGCATGGTTAACGGTGGCTTGGGGGATCCCGCGTGCGCCCAGGGAGCCACGTTGGTGTTCTGAGAAACCATGATGGGCTGCAGTGGTTAAGAGAGGACATCTAACTCCAGAGAGAGCCAGAGAAGGATCCTTTTTTGGGATTGCAGACTTCGGAGGGTTGGGGTTGGGGGTTTGGGGTGGTGCCTGTCTTTGTTTAAATGCTTGGCATTCCTGTCATCGTGCTTGCTTAGGAGGGGTAGACCGTGTGTGTGCGCGCGCGCCTGGGGAATAAACACATGTTGGAAGCCTCGGTGTTATTTTCTGAGCAGAAACCTGCAGCCTTTAGTAACTGGCAAAGTGTAGCGTCACCTATCTGGATAAAAGGGAAATAAACTTTAATGGCAACTTTGTGTACCGAAGTGTCCCTAGTTCCGTTTCTCTCCTTCTTTTGACTTTGTGCCACTCGATCGTACATGGTATTCCCCCACGCGAGGGTTCCCCGGTTTTCAGTCACAGCCACTGCAGTCCGCCTCATCAGATCTCAATTCTCCTTGTGTTTCTTAAACTGTTGCCATTTGTTCTTCATTTATTTTAGCGGCTAAGGGGGCCCGTCAGGATTAAGGGGGCTGAAGCGGGCAGGAGATATTTGGGGACAATCTTACCATCTCAAAAGAGCAAAGAGGCTGCTGCTGGGATTTGGTTGGTCCTCGCCTCATCTGCCCAATGTATAGGCATCGAAAGGCCTCCTCTTAAAGGAAAATTTAAGATGAAAAGAGGAAAAAAAGAAAAATCAGTCCAGAGTGGGTACTCTGCCTTTACGAGACCTGTGTGAGCAGGCAAAATGCCTAAAAACAAACACTAATGAAGTCTACGAGCAGATGTAGCACGCGGTTATTTGGGCGGGCGCAGCCAGCAGGATTGGGGGAGACACGGCTGAGATTTCCAAGGTCTCCCTATGGGGGATCCTGGAGGCGCGGAGGATGAAAGTGTCAGGGAGCTGGCGAGTATTTTTCAGTCTGCTAAAGCAACTGCACTCAGGGTGTAGCGGCTTCTCTTCCCCGGCCAGGCCAGGAACCCGGCCACCCCCACATTCCCCAAGCCCGCTGCCTCCCCAGCCTCTCCGCTCTATATCTGCAGCATCAGCGAGAAAAACCCCGCGCGCAGACTCAGTGCACACCGCCGCAGTCTGGAGCCGGGGGGCGGGGGCGGGCGCCGCAGCGTTTCCTTGGCCCGCTAAGTGGCTGTAATGCTAAATCCTCTTATATTTGGAAAACTCTGGTTTATCAAAATGCTTGCCTCCCACGACACCCGGTCCTCCCCCCACCCCCCACCCCCGGGTCCGAGGCGGAAGAGGGAAGCCTTCTCTCCTCCGCGGCCTTGCGCCGGTGCATTCCGATGCGCGGCAATATGGTGCAGTGCACTCGCTCCCCTAACCGCCTTTACTAAGATTTTGCAAACTTCTGGCAGCCGCGTGGGCAGATACGTTGTACATTCACTCTTCCCTCGCCAGACCATAAACTTGAACAAGCCCCTGAGCATCTTCAAACGTTCGCCCACCGCTCCGGCGCGCAATCTCCAGGCGCACACTAGCGAGGGGCGAAGGAGTAGGAGGCTTTTCCCCAGAGCGCGGCAGATTTCTTCCCAGATGACGGGGGTGGGGATGGGGGTGGTAGTGGGGGATGGAGGTGGGGGTTGTGCAGCGCGTCCTTCACAGTGGAGTGGTTTCCCCCTTGCGAGCGGGAGGTAGTCTCCAGTCCGCCCTCCCTACTCATCCTGACCAACTCCGCCGCCGAGCCAAGCCAGCGTGGGAAATGGGTCCGACGTGTGCGGCATGGAGAACAGCGCGCCAGACTACCGGGGCTGTGAAGCCTCCCGGCTTTCCACCCTCCCCCATCGGTCCCCGCCTCCAACCTTTTCGCGGGAGCAGCCAAGGACCGGATGGTTTGCCCAGCAGCGCTGTACTTGGGCAAGGGAACGGAATAGGCGGGGTGGGGGTGTGGGAGAGGTGAGAGGAGCCCTCGGGGCGCCCTTGCCGCGGTCGGAGCTCCCAGTCCTCCTCCGCCCCCTGTCTGGGGACTGACACTCCAACTCCAGCCTCCCGCCGGCGCGGAGGATGAATGGAGGCGAGAAGCTGTTTCCCCCACCCCCGCCCCATTTCCGCAGTCTTAGAGCCAGTGTCACAAGTGCTCAGCAGTTTCATTAAATGGAACTGGGGGACTTAATCCCCCCCGGTACCAGACCTCACCACGGGAATATGATATCCGGATTCGCTCCCACCCACAAACCCCGCCCGGCTTTTCAGACTCGAGGCAGCATTTATCTTCTCAACCTGAGAGGAAAGGGTTCAGAAGGAAATGGGATCGAAAGTGTAACCGGCTGTAATAAATTAAAGAGCCCGCTGCTGCTGTGCTGCTCTTGCTGCTGCTTTGGCGGCCAGAGCTGAAGAGAGAAAACGAGATCAGTTTCCTAAAGCCTGAGTTGATCCGAGTGATAGCACGTCATCGCCTGCATGAAGCAACGTATTTGAGAGAAGGTTGAAATGTTGTGGATTTGGTTATTCTCTCTCTGTGTGTTTTAAAGGAATATTAGGAGAAATGACCTCTTGAAACCAAGATAAAAAAATGATTAAAATAGAAATGGTATCCCGTTTTAATAAACATTTAATCAAAGCTTGGTCAAGGGTTCCTTTCCTTTTTATGCCAGAAACCTTGCCCTATATTTACCATACAGTAGTTTTTTGTTGTTGTTTTAAATTTACCTACTAACCCTGCCGTCTTGAAACTGCTTTGCAGTTAAGAAATTTCAGTGACTGAGCTGTAAAATAGCATTCAGTGTCCGTAAGGTAGTTTAAGTCTCAAAAAGACAGGAAAGGAAGTAACAAGGACAACAAAAGTTTATTGGTAAGAATACAAAGAAGTAGGTGCCGAAGATATGATCTCAGGGGGCTTTCATTTATTATAGACGCTCTATTCACGATTGTACAAGAAAAAGGTTAAATACCGTAAACATGATAGCCAGTTCTTGTAAGAAATAAAAAGCAGTTTGATGGGAAGGGAGAAAGTGACTCAAGAACTCCACCAAGGGACAAACAGAGGAAATGACACCCCTAGATCTCCAAATCCATTGACCTTTTAGTCTTTTTAAAAAGGGTCCTCTATATCCACTTACATGGGCATATATGTTTTCCGGACCTTTGTGATCAATCGTTTCTCCAACTATTTTTGATAAAGTGGATGCTGAAGTCTTCTTTTTCCAAGTAATTATTAGAAATTATTGTTCCTTAAACATATCATTTCAAACGGTAAACTACAACTGTCTCACTATTGTCTTATAGCAAGTATGGTTCTGATTCTGGGACTCTGAGAAACTTTGGGCAGAATCTGCAGCCTTAAATCTATGCCCGTAGTATTAAAATGAGTAGCAGACTGAAGAAGCTAAATTATTCATTGCAATAACGGACTTTTTGATGGACATTAAAACTCAGCAGTTTAAATAAGGAAACCACAGATTTCCTTTTAAGCAGGTAGTAACTGCTTGCCTCAGTGGTTATTTAATTGGTCTCCAGCCAAGAAGTAGAATCAGTTGTGCTGTTTAAATCATGCAAAAGCCATATACTGTATTACAATGTATTGATAAGAGACAACACAAGAAGTAAACTAAGTTGATTTATACCATCTATTGGATAATTATAAAAACATTTCTAAAAGGACAGTATAAAAATTCAGTTCACAGAGAATAAGAAACTCAAGAAATTCATTTTTAAGTGTTCAAGTATTAATTCATAGGCTATATGATTTGTCTATTAAACTGAATGTTTTAATATTTTTAAATGTCACTTAATAGAAGTGATTTTCACTTTTTAAGCACAGATTAATAGCTGATTTTTGTCAATTTCTTAAGTTTTAAATGCCAAAACATGCAACA